GCAAAAACAATTGTGTTTTTCCTATTTTTGCTGCTGTCAGAACCACCACAAGGTAATTTTACGTAGTCCTGTAAAGTTTTGTTGAAATCAGTTGAAAAATGTAGGAAATCCGATCCAATATATAAACGTACAGACACACACACACACACACACACACAGCCTGGGTTTTATAATAAGTAAGATGAACCTGTCATGGACTTGTTTGGTAAATACAAAATAAAACAGAAATTATATTATTTAAATACATCCCACGTAAGTCCAAATTAAAGAAATGGATGTGGTAGTCTCTTCTACATTATTACCAGTTTTATCAATTAATTTTAGAACATGAAAATGTTAATTATATTTGGAAAAATATTTAGTTTTATGTTTATGTATTATTTCTCACTATTAGTGGAATATTCAGTAATTTATATTTATATATTATATATTATTATAACTGTATAAAGGAGAGAGTTTGATAGATTTAGGGTAGAGAATTTATGGACTAGGTTTTATTATGAACTTTTTCTGTTGCTTATAGCATTCATTGCTATATAGGAAATTAGATATTATATAACAGTTTAACACTCTTTTCTTTGTTCCTAACAGCATTTGTTCCTAACAGCATTTGTTTCTGTCTCTTAATACTTTACATACATTGGTAGAACCACATCTTGTTATATTCTGTGCTAATAGGAATATATACTTGAAAAGCAAGGTGCATAAAATAAGTAAAGTTTTATTGTAGAAACCAATACAATAAGAATAAAGTTAACAGTTATGCACAAGGTCATCGCAAGTCAATCTGGTAGTGTGTGCTACTATTGGAAGGTCAGTAGTTATCAGATTCCAGCTAGAAAATTTACCAGCCTCCCAACAAGGTAGGATGTGGCACAAGGCCGAATTTAATGTAGGACAATCCGAGCTGTATGCTCAGCCAAAAATTCCCAGTAAACTAGCATAAACAGGTTCGGGTCTGTCTACTTTCCCAAACGAGACTCTGTCCTATGCCATAGCCTCATCTGGATTCCTCTCTGCCTTTTGACAGTACAGCCAAAAAAGATTTCAGCTAGACTTTGTAGTCTGTTGACTTACAGATACTTATAGGTTGTTATTACCTATAGTGTAGTTACTCATGGGGGTGACAGGTTATTACATTACATCAAAAATATTATAGACAAGCGTATGGTTGCAAGAAAGAAATACAACAACAGCAGAAATAAATTTATGAGATTTATTTCAACAGGAACGCGAGGGTTTGGGACAGCTACCTTGTGGTATAGTTCATAAGCCGGCTTCGGATCTAGGTCGATCTCTCATAGTAGTTCACACAGGTTGATGCTGGCGCTCCTCTGTTGACAGCTGCTGACCGCTCGGCCTGACCATGACAGGTCTCTTCCCTGACCACCTGTTGACTGCCCGTTGTACTTCCGTGTGACCTCTTTTATAGCATTTTTTATGGCTTAACAGGCTTGAAAAACGACGCGAGTATAATTAGGAGGGAAGCATTTTTATTGGTTGAAAAATAGAAACACTTTAAAATATTATTTTATTTTTCGATCGGAACTCGTACGTCGGGAACATGCGTAACGAATATAATCGTTATTTTGTGACAGGGCCTTGTCCCGTTCACATCCGGCTCTCGCTCTTGAGTATGTTAATTTATTTGCTTGTAAATCAGCTGTGATATGTCTTATTTTATTTTATAACAAAAACATATATATCAAATTATTAATCTGCAAAGTTTCATCTCTTAAGCATGTATAGTTATTAAGTTATAAGTAGTTTTATACTCTTCTATTGACACACAAATAGAGCTGAGAATTTTTCTCTTAAAATTAATTTGTGGGCATTTTGTGTCTACTATGATATCTGGGCATGAGGTATAAATAAAAATACATATTAGTCAGTCAGTTCAAGGTGTCTACATGATAATACAAGTAGCAGCCAGATGTAACAGTTCAAGATGAAGTCATTAAGAAATCTTCTGCTTGTCTTTCCTATTCCCAGATGTATGAAAACTGTCTTCATAAGAAGAGACGGAACCAAAAATAAAAATGAAGGAAATCATTTTTGTAAATACAGCATCGATAATTTCTGGAATATATAAATTTGGGATTTACATTTTATCTGCTTTCTTATTTTCTTTTCCTTTTTCTTTTTGGACAAGTTGAATATTTTTTATGGCCAACCTTTCACATCCTCAACCTTCCACAGCTCTACAGTAGAAAGGTAAGGTACAGTAATAAGGTTAACTAATGATATAAATTTGAAATATAATTGTCTTGGAAATACACAATATTATTACTTCCTTAATAAAATACCAAAATATTCTTTCAAGTAAATGTATGAGACTATTATGATCTCCTGATGATAATTTTGTTATCAATCATCAACAAATTAGATGATAGTTTTTATTAATTTTAAAATGATAAGGAAAAATAATTTTCTAAGTTAATATACCAAGGAACTTTAGAAATTGAAACGTATTCCATTTTTAAATAGATTTATGTGCTTGATTTATATTCTTGGTTTTGACTTGAATTACTTTCTAATCTTAAACAAAATTAGTACTACTGTAATTAATAAAAATGTTATACACTCAACATATATACAAAAAATTTTGATTTTTTTCATTAAGGTTACATTAAGGTTTAAAAGTGAAATTGGCTCTCACTTCAAAGATTTATTTTAAAGGAATAAGTTTCTTAATACAGAGAACTCGAGTAGAAGTGCATTAAATGAGGTGTATTCACGGGAGTCAACTACGCTTTTAATGTAATTTGAGATAGAAAGATAGACTAAAAACGTGAACATTAAAAATAAAGAATTTATTCTTTATTTTAACATGAAAGCAAATCTCATGTATAAATCAAGACAGATATCTCACTTTATAATAAAGAGATTCATTGTTGTGTTCTTAAATTTCAGTTAAATATTTATCCTTGATAAACAAAAAAATAAACTCTAATTATAAGAGTTGAGTTTTTAGAGCACTAAATTGTTATGCAATATCAATCCTCCTATATTGCAGTAAATGCTGGACAATCTCCTCACAAATGGAGAGACTTGAGGTAACAGATATATGCTTCTACGGAAGGATGTTGAGAATACCATGAACTGAACATGTGAGTACCATGCTTTATTGAAAAAAATGCTTATAGTTGGAATCAGAAAGAAAGTTCAAATTTCTAGGACACATAATGAGGAAAGAGGGTTTGGAGAATTTGATACTCACAGGACTTAATGAAATAAGAGGGGTACAGCGAGGGACCTACCTAACAAGCTTGTGTAAACAGATAGCAGAACAAGGACTGGGATGGATGGTGAAAAGATAGACCTTAATAAAAGCTACAAAGAATGGGAAATTGTGGAGAGCCAAGATCCTGAAGGGATACAGTATATAGAATAATAACCACAATAATTTATATGTTTGTGGGATACAAATGTGGTTGATCATTACTAATCTGGGATCATTAGGCAATGTATCCCCAGTAATGGCAATCATATACATTAAATACTTTGAGGAAATTGTTACAGAAACATCACCAGTCATAGTTGAGATATGTAGATAACACCTCTAAATGTAGATTCTATATCTTATGTCCATAAAGGAGACTCTCACTTTCTTTTGAGGATGAGTGTTATATATCTATATTTGTATTACAGTTTTTCCCATGTTTTTCTATCACAGGAAGGCCCCGAAACGGTGCACATTCTCTCCTGATGAACCCAGTTTAAAATTCGAGAGGAACACATCAAATTCAGTGGAGTCATATGCCGTAGTGAAGCTCAGTGGAAGTGTCATTAGCATGAGGAGCATTACACATTCAGCTCGCTTCAGGTGAGTTTCAATTACTTTCCAGTAATTTCCTTCTTCACATGTTCACATGTCAGGGCAGCCATTGACTTTAGTTAAATCAGGGATCTTTATCTCCAACTGGGAAGCCAACCTTTAGATGAACCCTGTACCTGGCTTCTCCAAAGGACACTAAACAGTAACATAGCTAGAAGGGGTAGTTCACCCTGAGCAGCATTTTTATGGGGGTGGCACTTTTATGCCTGCTGTAGGCTATAAGCTTGTATAGGCTGTATTAAAATGAAGTGGTTTTAATGTTGGGGCAGTATTCACAGTTGAAGGATCTTTTTGATTTCAAGTAACTTAAACTATGGCATATATATTGGCCTATTTACTGTCTATAGAGAGTCAATTGACAGATGATATAGTTTTTGACAATGTCATTGAAGAATTTGCCAACAAAAAAAGCAAGAAAAGTTATTTTGTAGAAAGTTGTAATTTCCATTTCAGAAATAAAGATGGTCCTAATTTTTTTAACTTTTTTTCCAATAGGTCATTTTTGCTTTTTAACTGTTACTGATAAATGTAAGTATGTCTGGTGTGTATTTGAAGTATACTATATTGAGTATGTGAAAGTAATATTATAATGGAACATAAACTAATTTTATAACTTTAAGAATGAGTCACTGTGCAATATGCATTGGCAAACTCAAGGGCTGCACTGGGTGGCATACACTCTGGCTATGCCACTGACACTAAGTGCATAGTCTATTCTGGCAAGATATGAGGTGACCTGAGTACATACAACAATCTATCCTGTCTCAGTTCTCTTTATTCTTTTCCCAGGTAGGTTTCTAACTTATTGGAAGTGCACCATGGAGCACAATGGAGCAAAGGACTAACTTGGTTAAAATGACAAAATAAAAACAAAAACCAATAAAAGCCATATCTGTGTTGAAAAAGTGTACAATATTCTGGTAGCTCTGGAACATCTCCCATGCCTACCAGATCTAGAAGTCATACAACTTCTGGCTCTTTCAAAAGCTGAAAAGTATCTTCAAAGGAACATTTTTCAGTATGTGTTTGAGTTGCTATCCTTGTTTTGTATTTTATTAACCAGTAAAATTAATAACAACTGACCTAGATTGAGAAGTCCTACTAAATAAAAATTGTGCCTCCTAATGGGAAACCTATGTAAAAAAAGGGATACAATTTTGTGATGGGAGGCCCAATTTTATATCTATCTATCTATCTATCTATCTATCTATCTATCTATCTATGTATGTATAAATATTATCTCTTGCTCTCTCTCTCTATATTATATATCAATAAATACATGGATATATATATATATATATATATATATATATATATATATATAAATATTATCTATCTATTTCTCTCTCTTCTCTCTCTCTCTCTCTCTCTCTATATATATATATATATATATATATATATATATATATATATATATAGGCATAAATTTGGATAAATCAATTGACCAGATATAAGCAATCAATAAAAAACATAAGATATACTTTGTACCTGATGAGCTGGAAAACAGCAAAACTTAAGTCGCACACCTAAACATAGGTATTTGTATATGTATATTTATTAATATCTATCTATCTATCTATCTATCTATCTATCTATCTATCTATATATATATATATATATGTATGTATATACCAGGTGTAACAGCAAAATTTTCCATATCATGTAACAGCATAATTATCCATGTAACAAAATGTTTAATATCAAAAAATACACTAAACTAATTGAGTTTCTTTTTCTCAGATTTTCAAATAAGACATCTAGCCATCTTGACACCAGTTTATGTAAGAATCACTGAAAAAAACCTTTGAGTTATTCAGTTAAAAAGAGATCAGGTTAAAATCATTTTGTGTCAGACCCACTGTCTTCCCAACTGAGCAATGTTGAGAAGAATAAGATCATTCAGGCCTTCAAAGTTCATTCAAGTACAATCAAGAGAATGGTGAATAAGTTTAAGAAAGAGGGAACAGTAGAGAGGAAAACTGGATCAGGCCATGACAACAGGAAGAGGAATCACCGTTTCAGCTAAAGTGATCCATTAGAAAAGATCCAACTCAATCCTTAAGATATTTGACATGTGAAAGAGGAGTTTCAGCTATGACAGTTCAAATAGCAGTGAAAAAAATCTTGAAAATGAAATCCTAAGTGAAACCTGTGAGGCACCGTGTTACTCCAGGACAAAAAGTTACATGGTTAGAGAGGGCAAAGAACATCTTGAATAAGTTTGAAAATGATCCTGAAAATATATATATATATATATATATATATATATATATATTTGAACTTTATTTCAATACTTCATGAGCTTCCGATCTTTAGTTATGATTAATTAATGATGAACATATTATTTTTGTTTATGATCAATTTCATCATGATTCTGCTGTTAAGCTTGGAGAGTAATTATACATTCTGATTGCTCAAAGTAAAGTCCAGTAGTGTTATAAAAACCTTGAAGGATTTCAGTAAAATATCTCTAATCATTTCTAAGATACAACAGTTCAGAGCTTAATCTAACAATTGTACAATTTTGGTGTTACACTATTTGTACAATTTTGGTGTTACACCTGATATATATATATATATTATATATATATATATATATATATATATATATATATATATATATACTATCACAATAATTACAGTTACATTAGGTGTGTCTTCATGATTTTTTCCCCTGAGAATGATCTTGGAGGAGATCAAAAGTACTTGGGTTAACAAAAAATATGGCACCTTCCTTGATGAATTTCAATGTAACATCAAGAAGATAATTACTCCCCAGACTGCAAGCCCCTTGATTATTATGTGTGGGGCACAGTTGAGCAAGAGACCAACAAAACTTCTTGTAACATGAAAGATGTACTGATAGCTATGGCAGCATTCACCAAATTAAACAAGGACACTGAAGCATGAAACAGACAGTTACCATGCAATGTTGATTACTATGTCCACACTGTCTACTATCTATCGATCTACATATATATATATATATATATATATATACTTTATTTTAGGATATTACATCAAAAATATATGTATTAAGACATCTCATCAAGTGTTAACACCTGATGAGATGCGTTAATACACATTGAAACATCATTGCATTTGTATGGTGTTTTTACATGTTTTTGATGTTATATCCTAAAATAAAGAATATTGCTTTACTTTTGTATCGAGCCCTCTTTTAAATTGAATGTTACGAACGTCAGAATTGGATTCTATTCATTCTCATTTTACATGGATATATAATTGAGCAGAACTAAAAAACAAAATAAGAATTAGACGAGATATCCCTAGACATAGGCAATGAAATGAGGACAGTCTACCCATGTAGATTAAATAAAGGTTTCAATTCAGAATTCCCTGTAGGTTACCTGGATCGATATGCAGCTGATGAAGGCAGGAGGGTATAACGTCTGAAACATGATAACAGCAACAAAGATGAGGACAATAGTCAGAATGTAAATAGTGTAAATAATAATAACTCTTCATCCCAGAAATTCAGACAGAAATCAAATGTTATGATTATTGAATGCTTACCTAAGTGATAAATTTTGAATGACTTAAGCAAACATTTAGAAAGCAATCATCATAGAAATGATCATAAAATGCTTTAAAAATAATCATTCTCCATTTGAATTCTATCTTTACAAAGCATTATAAAGCATTGTCAACCATTATTAATGTTTAACTGTTATTTCTTTCCTTTTTATTTGCTTTTTATCCAAGGTACTCTAGGTGTCATTCTCCGGCCATTAGTAAACAAATCATTAAATTATCTTGAATTTTTATTGGATGAAGCATTGTCAGCCATTATTAATTTTTTACTAATACTTTTTCATATTAATTTGATTTCTTAATATTATCTTGAATTTTTATTAGATGACACATTCTCAGCCAATATTAATTTTTGGTTAATATTTCTTTTAAATTAATTTTAGTCACGTTTCAGTTTTAGTAGTAATACTATCTTGAATTTTTATTAGATTAGATAACACATTGTCAACCATCATGAATTTTTCTACCAATATTTTTTATCTTAATTTCAATTGCTTTTCATCAGGTATTGTTAGTAGCAGAATGGATGAAATGTTGTGATAACAACTAAAAAGACGAGGACAATAGTCTGCATGTAAATAGTCTAAATAATGATAAGTCCTTATCCCAGAAATTAAGAGGGAAATAAAAAGTTTTTTTCAGAGGAATAATTCATTAAATATTTTAGAATAAAATGCATTTGTTATGCTATATCTGTTTATGTTTGCAAGCAATTTTATAATTTTTTTTACAGCTAAACAGTTTATTATCTATTTATAGTTTTCAGTGAAGACATCTGCACCATTTAAACACATTATTACAATAAATAACAAGGGCCTCATACACTCTATTTATTCATCTACTTGAAATCAGTTTAGCTGGCTACCTGAACATGGCTTTCTAAAGACAGGATTTGATTTTTTTTTTGAGCTGGTCTTTATTTAGCTAAGACTAGGAGTAGAACCCGGCGTTGCCCGGGGATGTAACAGTAAGAGATAGATCAAGTATCGACCATCATAAAGACTGAAAAATAAAATTGACAAATATTATTGTTTAAGGTTGACGGACACGCATGTCTTAATTAGCTGTTTTTTTTTTTTTTTTTTTTTTACGAATTGATCAAACCCAAACTCAAACAAAAACATTGTTTTCAATCATTATGGATTTACCGATTGAATAGAATTTTATTATAAACAATTGTCTTGTAAATGGAATTTTTAAAGCATTCTGTATTTAAAAATAAAGAAAAAAGTGTGCAAGACAATAAGAAACACTACCTGCCAAAAAAAAAGTGAAGTTTTGTTGAAATTGGTTGAAAAATGTAGGAAATCTGATCCCATATATAAATGAACACACACACACGCAAACAACCTGGGTTTTATAATAAGTATAACTCAATATGAGTTGTCCCCCTTTCATTCTCGTGATGCCTCTTAATCGTGTTTTCAAGTTGATTTTGTGCATAAACAATTGTGTTTTTCCAATATTTAGCACTGTTAGAACCACCGCAAGGTAATTTTACATAGTACTGTGAAGTTTTGTTGAAATCAGTTGAAAAATGTAGGAAATCCGATCCAATATATAAACGTACAGACACACACAATCTGCGTTTTATAATAAGTAAGATAACTTATCTGAGTACTGAATTTCTGTTTCTCTTGCCACGAATTTCCCTGATCAGATTTGTATATTAGATAATGTTTACTTACCAGACATATCAGGAATATTTTTAGGATTTTATGTTCATAACTATTCTGAATATATTTGTTTACCAGAGCTGATAATTGTCATATACAATTGTTTTTTTTTAAATCAGTATCACCCCATGCAAGGTAGTAAAGCCACTAAGACACAGGTTGTGCAAGAATTAGGAAAAGAAACATTAATAATGAGCAGGAAGAGAAAAGAGTAATCAGGAGGACTAGCTAGCTATTAACAGTGCATTTAAATTTTTGCAGATTAAAGTTGGCTGGAAAGCATGGAGCTGGAAGGGAGTTCCACAAGCAAGAAGTGTGAGAAAAGAAACTGTTAGCATAGAATTTATGGTTACATCTAGCCAGCTCAACTGTAAATTGATGAGATCTCAATGCCAGTCTAGTACTGTCCTTAAATTCAAAAAGTTTAGGTACTATAGCGAAGAGCACATCTGAATGATTACCATGAAAGTTATTATATACCATACCTATGAACACTAATGAGTATGTCCCCATCCTTATAAATACATTGGATACTATTGTAAGGGCGGGGTAATATGCTGTCTAAGTAGTCCACCACTAGCAGGAGTTTACCTACTTCACGCCACTGGTGAGTATTGTATTTTGTTGATGTTATAAAGATTACCATTTCATTTCCAACCTCTGTTTTGGTTATTCCTTGTTCAGTAACCCTTTCTAGGTTACAACAAAAGTATTTATAGAAAAGACACAGAGAGGCAACCTTACAGTGATGAGAAAGTGACTGAAGCCAAGCCAACAGATCAGGACCAATAATATTGCTAATTCTTCTTTGTATTTTTATCAAGGAGCTCAAGGTAAATAGCAGGGGCATCGGGCCATATGTGGCAGCAATATTCTAAGCATGGGCAAATGGTAGACTTATAGATATGTAAAACTGTTGTATAATTATTAGATGTGAATCATGAATAATTATGAAAATTGTATAAATTAAATTTTGATAAATAAATAAATATTATACTCTTAAATTATAACAGATACATAATTAAAACATTTTATAAGTTGACCAATTTCAAACAAAATAAAATTTATTTTATATTATTAGATAATTGCGAGAGAACTAGAAAATTAAAAATATAATATTACATACTCAAAAAAATAATTTATTAGTCAAGTACATAGTCTCCATTGTTTTAACAACTGTCCGCCATCATTCTACAAGCTTGTTGATGCCATTTTTGTAGAATTTTGTGTTTTTGTTGGAAGAAGGTTTTGAGGTAGTTTTTGACTGACTGTACAGTCAAATTTTTTCTCATTTAAATTGTTCTGTAGAGACCAGAACAAATGAAAATCTGAAGGAGCCAAGTCAGGAGAATATGGTAGGTGCTGAAGGGTTTCCCCATTTCAATTCTTTAAGCTTCTGCAAGGTC